AACGATTAGGGGTTGAACTAGCACTTTGAGGAGGCTGTTTAACACTCATTTCTAAGCAAGGAATCAGTTCTCAAACCTCCTTGGCCGAGGCTTTGGTCATTGGATCGACAAGGAAGGTTTTAAAGCTCATTTGAGGTGAGGATCGACATCTAATTGCTTACAACTTGTAGGTTAAGCACGAGATTACCTAAATGCCTAAATCATAATTTTTCATGGATTATGATCATGAAATATTGATGAAATGTTGATATAGTTGCCAAAGAATGAAATTGGAAATGATATGAGGTTGTATGAGTAGTATGAGGTTAAATGAGTTATAAATGAACTATTTTGTGAAATAGGCATTTTACTCATGTACGAATTATGTGGATACATAAATGAATATTTATGTATTGAGATTGAATACTTAAGTTGCTGCTACATAATTATAAATATGTAGAGAATTACAAAAAAGAGAATATTTGTATGATAACAATAATCTTAATAGTAGTGAAATACTCCCTCCGATTCATAATCTCCTTGACACTTTGACTTCACAAGTTTTAAGAAAATAAATTTGACTTTACTGTAGAGTACACTGTTTGGCACTGTTTGGCACCGTTTGACACTTTTTTATGTAGATTTGTTTGCCAAATAAGGAAAATAAGGAAGTGTAAAGAAGAATGTGGTACTGACAAAAAAGGAAAGTGTAAAGAAGAATGTGAACCGGAGGGAGTACTAGTTAGTGATTATTGGAAATTGTTGATAGAATTGATCCTAGGGATTGGATTGTATGAAAGGAACTTGAATATACTTCAAGTGTATATAATGACTTAGTATGAAGCTAAAGTTAAGTTATGGGCAGTCTTTAAGGATGACCCATGGTAGTTTATTGATATGTCAATTCTAGGCATAGGTTTGCTTAGGAATTCGACTTTGGTGCATGGTGATGTGATAGAGCCGAGCTCTAGGATGCATGGTAAGGTGGTAGACTTGTAGCCTATGTATTGTATAACTAGAGCCGAGCTCTAGGGCTTGCACGGTGATGTGATAGAGCCGAGCTCTAGAGTGCAAGGTAAGGAAATTGACCCAAGTGACATGAATTGTATGGTGATGTGATAGAGCCGAGCTCTAGAATACAATGTCATGTATTAGGGTTGGACTCTATGAGTTGTCGTGACTTATAGTCACGGGGAATGAGAATGGTGAGTTCTAAATGAATATGGGCCCCTGGGCCGACTACTTGACTTTTATATAAAGTAAGTATATTTTCAAACGGGGTAACTTAGGGTTACAACCATATTGTACTATCACTCAATTTGAGGGTCTTGTGTTTGAAATACTTGTTGTATATCTATTAGATGCCATCCACACCAGTACTTTATAGCCCTATAGAGTACTGACCCCTTCGGGGGCGTCCCACCACCATTTCAGGTTGAGGCTAGAGCTTGCTTCCTGTGCTCGTTGCTCGAGTGATTTCCCGGAGAGAAGACTTGGTTTGTGCTTCCTCCATTCTGTTTTAGAACATTAATAAAGATGCTCATGGATATTTTACTTTAGGGCCTGCGTGCTCATGTTTGCCCCGTGTGGCATTTGATTTTAAACTATGTTTTCCGCTGCGATTGAATTGTTTATTATGTATGTTTATGGATGACTTATGTGTGAATGATATTCATGAATGACGCCTTGTATAATATGGATATAGTTGACTACGGTTGACTATTCGTGTTGTACGGCGGGTTATTGACGTGTCCGGGTAGGTCCGGGGCGTGACAGTAAACTTTCTCCTTCAATGAAAACCATTCTTATTCATATTTAAGAGCTCGATTCCACATATTTATTCTTAGTAGAAAACAAGGACCCAACATTTATACGTGTGTGTGTAATGTAATATATAGATGCTACATTAGATAATACTTAGATGTACATTTGTTACCTAATGTTCCTTACGTGTTACAATTTGTATGTTAAATTAGATAATAGATAGATGTAACATTTGTTACCTAATGTCCTCGATCAAGTGTTACATTTGTGTCTGTTAAAGACTGTTACAATTGCACTTGATCTTTAGTAACACATTTGGTTGGTTGAGTATAGCGTTATCATTGCTTGTAAATAGCGTTACATACGTAGTATATTATAAAAAAGGCAACACGAGTGAATGTAACACCCAAAACTTTTACATTTAGCATGTTTTTACTTGGACCGTAATCTGTCTCAGACCAGACCAAACTTGGATAGTTATAAAAATACAAAGAGACAAGACATTATCAGACCATACCAGACCAATTCAGACCAGACCGGATCAGATCAGACCAGACCAGCAAATTACAGTCTAAGTAAAAACATCCTTAGAATAATCTAACACCTTGTTGGACCAATAGTAACCAAATTGAAAAAATCCATTTTTCAAAATCTATTTTTCAATTTCCAAAACCAATATACTCTGTATAATTTATTTTTCGGTATTTTAAAAGTTATTTTTTAATTTAAAGTCAATTAAGGCTAATCTTTTCAACAACAACAAAAAAAGTCAATTAGGGCTAATTTGTTCCTTTATAAAAACTTTAGGGGTTTCCTTATACAATTACACCTATTAGAACTTTACTGGCAGGGGCGGAGCCAGAACACTGGGCCGCACTGGACCGGTACAAAGAATATTTCGGAAAAAAATTTAGACCGGAATTTTTTACACTAAAAATTAAGGTATTTTTAAAATTTGGGGTGGGCCAGGGCCTAGGTTGGCCCACCCCTAGCTCCACCCATGTTTAATTTACTGGTATATCTACACTTACTTGCACGTTTACTTTAAGGGTTTACTTGCACATTTTCGCGATTTACTAGCAAGAAAGCATGAATAATTATAACACATAAAGCATTTCCAATGTTCTTCTTTCAAGAGAAGTTAAATTTTGTCAAATGTCAAATAAATAAAGAGATAGCATTCAATCCACGTAAAATGCTGATCGAAAGAAAGTAAATAGACATCTCCAATGCGTAATGTCAACCGCTTGAAATATTATGCTTCCATTGTTTATTTAATTCCAAAACAAAAATATAATAGAAAAGGTAATGCATTACTGATCGGATAAAGAACAAACCTCCGGCAGACATTGGCCCCGTTTGTTTTTTCAGCGGATTGGTGCTACCCGCTGCATTTTGCAGCGTTTCGTAGTTCAATTTTTCAGCGGTTTGGTGCTACCCGCTATTATCCAAACGGGCACATTATCCTTTACAAGGAGCTCACAACAATGAATTATCCTACCAAATTCAACTATTCATCATCGGTGAAAACATAAATTTTGAAGAATACATGTGTTTAATTTATTAGGTCTGTAGTAAAGAAAATCAAGATGAGTTTAATTTGACAGAAATCTGCTCTTTGTATTGTTGTTGTTATACTTTTGTTGGATGCTTCGGTTTTGATAAAAGATTCTACACCAGGATTTTTGATATTTTTAATGTTGTTTTGTTTTTACTTCTTACCAATATCAATTCAATAATACTCTGTATCCACGAGTGTATCTATAAAAAAATAACGAGTGCATACAGCCACGGAAACGGTTACCTTATTTTAATGAGTCAGCATGTTAAACACTCTTTCTAAAATCCAACAGTCGGTTTCAAAGTCGTGGTTCCACATCAACTTAACCGAACTAATGAAAGAATGCATTGAAGAGAGAATTTTATTCATACTTTCAAAATTGCCTGACGTGTCCAAATTATACTCTTTTGAAAGAAGTGCATTGGATGAAATTTTGACGCATTTTTAAAATTACAATGGTTAATTTGATAAATTTGTATATCACAAATGCGCTTTGATACATTAAATCCTAACACTTTTAATTGACAAAAATGTCATCAACCTTTATGGGTATGAAAACCCTTCAATTTCGAAATTGTAAGAGTCCCGATAATGGAAGTTAGAGCATCTCTAATTTATAGGAAATGTTTGCCATTTTAAAGTAAATAGCTTATCATTAGAGCATTGCTTTCATCTCACTTATGGATGTCAACGCCGCCATTAACCATGTTATTGTGACGCCAAAAACTTTTCCGCTAACTTTTCCCGGCGAAATTGTTATATATTATCCACAATTTCCACTCAGTATAAACAGATGTCACCCCTATGGGTGAGATTGCCTATATACGCCCCCCTCCCCGTCCTCCCATCCCTGCTTTCCCACAGCTCCCCTTCCCCCTTCCTAGTCACAACCTACCTTTCCCTTGCACCGCCAAGCCCGCTGCCACAACTTGCCCTGCTCATGCGCCCCCTAGCTCCTCTGTGACTCCCCCAATCCCCTCTATGACCCGCCCTATCCCCATAGCCCCCGCAGATATGAAATCGCAACCAATTTTTCAAAACCCTAGCACTAACAATCAGTGTTGTCATTTTACAGATGAGAGCGATGAAGCTAGCAACATCAATAGCGAAGAGGAACATCGAAGAAGAAGAAAAAGCTAGTTCGCGAAGAAGATATCACCATTACTGTCGCTTCTCACGCGTTGGCGTCGCACTGGTGCTCGATGTTGTGTTTATTGCGGTAGCCATCATCTTCGCTCGCAGTCGCCGTTGACATCGATGGCGTGTGGTAGTGGTTGCCTCATGGTAGAGGACGAAGGAGAGGGGCAAGGTTTGGTTGCTTTTGACAAAGGAGAGAGGTAAGGTCGATGAGAAGGTGCCGATGCTTTTGGCATACTAATCAAGTCACTTTTTGTCCAGGTATAAATTAGTCATATTTTTATCCACCAAAACCTATGAGTACCATTTTTGTCATTCTTTCAAGATAATTACTTTGTGTCACTTATAATTTTTACGAATACTTTTTGTTAGTTGTCTCACTAATTTAGTCAATTTTCTATTTAAATAAAGAATAAAAGGTCATGTTAATTCTCTCTCGTGCACAAATCATTTATGTCTTAGTTGTCGCTCTAACTTAATCAATGTCTCTTTTAAATAAAGAATTCGTGGTTGTTGTTACTTCTCTACCCCTTACACAAACTTTAACCAAACCTTTTTTATTACAGAGTATTATTATATGTGTCAAACAACTTCGAAAAAAGTATTAGATGAAGTGCTAAATAATAAGGAGAAAATACATTGTACTCACTCTTTACCCACTTACGTACGAAGTATTTTATTTTAATAATTCCTCCAAAGGTTGAACCTCCAATCCCCAAGACTCCCATGTCCCTACCTGACAAGGCATTTGGGATACTGTAAATTACGATAACTCAGTGAGCCTAATAGTGGTAGATCTTGTACTTGTGCACACTAAAAGTCCATCTCAGTACAAAGGGAATGTAACTTCCACACGACCGGTGCATGTTTCGATCATTAGTCTTTTATTTTAATAAAGAAACACTAAACGTAACCTAGTAGTAGGCCATACTAATGAAGTACTACTATAAGGTCAAAACAGAAAAACTAAAACCGGTAGGCTCAATAATGCAAGACGTAAGCATCATATTGGACGGTGGCATCGCCAGTTGTGATATTAGACCAGTGAGTCTTGGCCTGAACGTAGCCCCGAGCGAACCTGAAAAGCCCACTGCCGCCGACGATGGGCATCTCCCGGACCTTCTTGAACACCGGGTTCCGGCCAACTACAGTGAGATAGCTGCCATTGTACTTGCCTTCAATGAAAGCCAAATTCATGACCATCAAGAGCCCAAACTCGTTCTGATCTGCCGAAACATAAATCCCCTGTGCTCTTCCGACGCACTTAGAGCTCGGGTTTGGCCCGATGGTAAGCGGGTTGTCGATTACGTGTGTCAGCCCGAAGCTGATTAGTCGCGGCGAGTTATTCACCGCCGGGATGACTTGGATCGACGTCGGCTTCGTCCCGCTAACGATGTCTTGCGAAAACCATCTGAAATGACTGGCTTTTTCTTTCTTCATTCTAAGAGATTTCCGGTTTATCTCCTTTCCAAAGATTTCTTCTTCTCCGGTAGCCGGGGAAGCGAGCAGGAAGAAGATGAAGAAGAGAAGGGAGATGGTAAAAATGGGATGCATAATCGGATTACTTGCCATAATTAAAGAGCTAGCTAGCTTAATTATCTTTGGATCGGTAGTGGGTTTGGACACCAGAAATGGATTGTTGCCAAAAGGGTATATATAGACGAATGCACAGGTTAGGGCGAAGCCAAAACTCCAAAGACTAAAAGTCAACGGATGGAAATAGACTTTGGGTGACCAATATAACGAATGGGAAGTAGGAACCAGGAAAACCCAGCCCCAAGTTTTTCCATGCTAGCCGTAAGAAAAGTAGGCACTCTAATAATCTATTTGTTTGGGGTTAACTTAAGTTATTAGCAAGTTTAATTTTTAATTAATCTTGTTTGCTTGTTTATATTTTTACAACAAAAATTTAGGTTAATAATAAATTTGGGTAACCTCACTTTAACTCCAGAGAACCTGGAAAACTTAAAATAGTGGGGGGTTTTGGAGGTTAAGTTCTAATGTAAAATGTAATTCTCTGTCCATTCCGATTATAGATTTATAGCCTCACCCGATACACGTAAAATACACGTTCTTCTCTATTGGCTCCCTCTATCTTGCAATTATATTTATCATATAAAGGGTAAACATGTCATTAATGAATCAGAGTACATTCATCCAAACAAAATTTATTACTAGTACATTAATCACGGTTCACTTTATTTATTTTTGAACAATATTTTACGCATGAACCTAGGATATAGGCTTTGTTTGCAAACAATTAATTTAAGTGCTTTTGGCTTTTTTTAAGAAAAAAAACACGTATTTTACCAAACAATACCAACTTTTAGTTTCTCGGTTTTCGTGTAGAATCTACATTTTACTTTTTCTATTACACAAAAAGCATTTATTTTACCAAGCACTACCAACTTTTACTACTAATCACTTTTTCCCAAAAAGTGCTTTTATTTAAGCACAATCACTTGTAAACAGAGCCACAACCTAGTTTTTATTAAAACTTGGGTATACTTATTGCAATATGTTTTTAACCAAAGAGAGCATTAAAGCCTTGTGATTTTAATAATAAAATCTAATTCACCATAACTTTGCTAATCAAGCAAGTTTTTTTTTATATATATTCAAGATCGATTAGATTTTACTTGTATCTACTTTGATTCCATCGAAACTTGATTTGTATTCGAAGCTCAATCCAAGTGAAGTAGTCAAGTTATTTACAACTTGACTCGAAAAGCTCGCAATTGCTCAATGAGTTAGATGTTAGATGCACTAAGTGAAGTAGTCAAGTTATTTTGTCAGACGCTTCTGACCAGATCATTTTCTTATACTCTAACACTCCGTCAAAGATACCCCCAACCCTCATATCCATAGAGTGAGCCACAACAGCACAACTACGCATGAGATACAATTGAATGACTTTCAACTTTCCTCACAGAAGCCGAAAATTAAAGATGATATTATCATCGACAATTTTCCTTTAAGAATGCCTAAAAATTTGTTTTTGTATGACTTATGATACCAAGTAGTTTTATTAACAAAAACATTTAGTTGTGTAACGAATTTTATTTTTGATAATGAAACTTTTGTAATATATTCTTACAACATACTACTTATATAATTAGGGGCCTATTTTTGTATTTTGCCCCGGGCCTATAAATTGTCAGAACCGGCTCTGTGCAAACATACCCTTAATGACTCTATGTCTAATCATATGGCTTAGCTTATGGCCGGGTTTGGGGTTTATGTCTTATATATTGGTCTGCAAGTTCTCAATAAATCTAATATAAGCCTTTTACATAAATAACTAAATATATGGAAGACAACCTCCATAAATTAAAAATATTCAAAACACCAAAGCTTGGGTTTGGTGCACTAAAGTCGTTCCTGATTTATAAATTTAGTGCATTAACCCCTTGTAATTTAAAAATACATTAACCCCTGTGTTACAGTTAATCATGCGCATATCCCCTGAAAGAATTATCTAATTGCCACAAATGATTAGTACTTGAGTAAAATTTGGAGATCTTATTATATTCACTTGCATATTCAATTATAAAACAAAAACACATGATTTTCAAATTGCTAAATTTGCACATATGTCATGGGAATTATAGCACATGGGAGTTTGATACATGTTTTAAATTAAATTATCAATGGTTAATGAGCATAATTTATATATTACAATGAAGTTTGACACATTAAATCCTAAAACTTGAAATTGACAAAAATTGTCATAAACCTTATGAGTATGAAAGTCCTTCAATTTAGAAATTCTAAGAGTCCTAATAGTGGAAGCTCGAGTATCTCCAATTTAGAGGACTTGTTTGAAATTTTAAAGCAAATAGCTTATCATTAGAGCATTGATTTTCATTTTACTTGAAAAAGGTAATTAGTCCAAAGGAGCTATTAATTTGAGAAAAGAGAATTATTAAATATAATAATAAAAAAGAGAGAAAAAGTTATAGTTAACCAATGAAACAAATTTTACTTTAAAAATAATTTCGCGTTGGATGTTTATGTGGGCAAGTCAAATCATAATTACATTAACTAAGCTTTGGAGATGCTCTTAGTGATGTATGCGAGTACGCAATGACAAGGTTAATTAAAAAAAATTAGAAGTGACTTAATTAAATAATTATAGTGATCAAACTTTCTTTTAGAAAAAGTATATTAAATCTTATAAATTTGTGTGTAAATAAAATAGTACCCTTCCGTCCTTTATATCTTTGTCATTTTTTTAGTTCTCTAAAAAAGTTTGTCACTTCTCCTTTTAATCACAAGTTCAAAAATATGTAGTTTATGTTATTTCTCTCTACTCTTTTCTAACTTCAAAGTTCAAACATACAAATTTTATTTATTATTTCACATACGGAGTATCAATCAAATTTGGTAAAGTTTTGAAAGATAGAGTGAGCACAAAATAGTTAAATAAAGATTAAAGAGGACAACCACTTGAGTACTCGACAATAAAGATTAATTAGGTCAGAGCATACCTCACAAATTTGAAATAATCACTTAAGAAAAGTAAAAATACATGTACGGTTGATAACTTAAATCACTTAAATCCTAAAACTTTGGCTTTACAAAAAATAAAGTTATAAACCTTTATGACTTTGAAAGTCCCTTCAATTTCGAAATTCTAAGAGTCCCGATAATGGAAGCTAGAGCGTCTCCAATTTAGAAGACTTGCTTGCAATTTTAAAGTAAATAGCTTATGATTCGAGCATTGCTTTTCTTTTTACTTGAAAAATTTAATTAGTCCAAAGGAGCTATTAATTTGAAAAAAGAGAATTATTAAATATAATAATAATAATAAAAAGTTATAGCTAAAAAATGAAACAAATTTCACTTTAAAAATAATAATAAATAAAGAGTTGTTTATGTGGGCAAGTCAAATCATAATTACATTAACTAAGGTTTGGAGATGCTCTGAGTGATGTACACGAATATGCAATGAGAAGGTTAACTAAAAAAATTAGAACTGACTTAATTAAATAATTATAGTGATCCCACTTTCTTTTAGAACAAGTATATTAACTCTTATAAATTTGTGTGTAAATAAAATGGTACCCTTCGATCCTTTATAACTTTGTCATTTTTTAGTTCTCAAAAAACTTTTGTCACTTCAATTCCCCTTTTAATCACAAATTTAAAAATGTGTAGTTTCTGTTATTTCTCTCTGATCTTTACTAATTTTAAACATATAAATTTTATTTATTATTTCACATATCAATAAAATTTGGCAATGTTTTGAAAGACAAAGTGAGCATAAAATAGTCAAATAAAGATTAAAGAGGACACCCACTCGAGTACTCGACAATAAAGATTAGGTCCAAGCAAAATAGTCAGCAATGTTGAGGTACTTGTAGATATTCCATTCGTCATGATTAAACCACTCCAGACCACTTCAGAACATACATCACAAATTTGAAATAATCACTTAAGAAAAGTACGTAAAAATACTTGTACAGTTGATAACTTAATCCTAAAACTTTGATTTTACAAAAACTGTTATAAACCTTTATAAGTTTGAAAGTCCTTCAATTTCGAAATTCTAAGAGTCCTGATAATGGAAGCTAGACCATCTCCAATTTAGAAGACTTGCTTCCAATTTTAAAGTAAATAGCTTATGATTCGAGCATCGCTTTTCTTTTTACTTGAAAACGGTAATTAGTCCAAAGGAGCTATTAATTTGAGAAAAGAGTGATTAAACATAATATTATTAATAATAAATAAAGAGAAAAAAAGTTATAGTTAACCAATGGAATCTATTTTAAAAAATCTTATAAATTTGTGTGTAAAAAATGGTACGCATTTGTCCCTTATAACTTTGTCATTTTTTTCGAGTTGTCTAAAAAAATTTGTCAGTTTCCGTTTTAATCATAAGTTCAAAAATTTGTAGTTCCTATTATTACTCTTTCTTCTTTACAAAGCTCAAACATACATATTTTACTTTATTATTTCACATATCTAAAGTAGAAATACCTCTGTACAGTTAATGAATTGGGGTTTAATAAAGTAAGAATTTCAAGTTTATTGTCGAAAAGACCTCTGTATTTTAATCACTTTAGAGCAATATAGCGTACTTCACATATGCTCATTAAGAAAAGTGAATTTATGTAGTCGATATTGAATTGATAATGTAAAAATAAAGTAAGAATGATTTAGAACCACAAAAATTTGCCAATTCTGACATGAGACAGTATTAGTGGGATGAGCTGAAAAGGAAAGACGAGACAACTTTAGCGGGACGGATGAAGTACTAACTTTTGAAAAAAAATGTTACTAACAAGGTCACATATTTGCAAAAACGTGATATCGTTGTACTGTAAGATTTTTATGTTAATGTGTTTTTTCATGTCATTAAGAATTGCCACTGCTAAATTTTAATGTCATTTACAGATGTCAAAACCGGCGTTAGCCATGTCACTGTGCCACCAGATAATTTCCCGGTGAAATTTTTAGGTGAAAATGTTATACATCCTCCACAGTTTTCGCTCAATGAAAGTGTCGCCGCCGATTGACACCACGGTCATCTCCCTATGGGTGAGACTACCTATGACCCCCTACCCCGGCCCTGATCCCCATCCCCTGCTCCCTAGCCCCCTTCCTTGCCCCAGCATTGCCCAAC